TAAAAATGTGGTTACTTTACGTAATTTCCTGCTAATACTTCTGGACTTTTTAAGCTAAAAGTCATTCAGTTACTTCTACCTTTATAATCATTACCTAGTTGATTCAAAATTGCACGTAATAATACGTACCGACTGATCTATTTTTTGTAGAGCACAGAGTTAAATAAAACACAGTTCTTACACAAGATTCCATTTATTTACCTCAATACAAGTCACATAACCAATAAATAATTTAGTTAAACACATACAACTACGTACGTACACATAATATTTATTAGGTACACCGAATAATACCTACCTATTCCACAGTATACCCTTCACAGAACATCGGCTTGTTGGGAATCTACTTTAGAGTTTATTTCATATTATAACAAATACAATAGGTTTTCTACAACGAGTATTTCAAAATATTATGGCGCAGATATACTATGTGGGAAATTGATTAGACTCATACCGAAGTATGGGCGACGTTTGTTTACACTATCTGCCTCGATCAATGTCGTGCATAGTGTACTTGCGCCATTATCTTATTAAGTTTTGGATAAAGAACAATTTGTTTGTAACTAATATAAAAATTTAATTGAAGAGTAAATATTTATTAACATTTGAATTAGATTCCCACCAACAATCCAACACGATACTACACACCGTAACATCAATATAATCTAAAAGATCATTGAAATTCTTTACATTACTTTTGTGACCAAATTGTTTACTTATACAGGGTTGCTTTGAAAAGTTATACATAGTGTTTTAAAAACGCTTCAGCAAAGCAATATCATAGACAAATACTAATAATAAAGTGTTGGCTTTGGCTTGACATATCAATTACATAGCCCCAAAGTAAGCAGAGCTTGTACTAATAGCGACTGGACAACACATTGCAAAGTAACCCTGTATAATAGAAATAATAATAATACTATTTATGAGATGAATACAGTTCAATTTGTAATCAAATAATTGTTTTCTGTTCGATGATTATCTTAGATATAGGCTTATTATAAATATTATAATTATAACATTATAAATTATGAAGCTTGAGTAAAATGTTTAGCAATATGTGAATTGCTATAATAAGATAACATAGACAATATTTTTTTCGCATCTTAAAGAGTTAAAAATCACTTTCTTTTTAATTACGGATACCTTAAACTTTTTATCATCACAAGAAACGGCAAATAAAATTCTACAATTTATAAACTTTGTATAGGATATTTTGTCCTATGGCAAATAATTTACCCCTTATTCATAAAAACTAGACCCTTTTTAATTCAAACATGTTTTCTCTCTTTCTCATTTTTATTATATATTTCATTTGACAGAAACTGACAAAAGATTTCCCATTTTACTTTAACAAACGTCAAATGTCAAGCTCCATACAAAAATTTAGGTGTTTTTTGTATGGAGTTTGACAGACTTTTGATGTTTGTTAAAGTTAATGTAAGATGGTGCATCACAGGGTTAGTGTTTTATTTATTTATGAATAAGAGGTTTAAGGTATATAATCATTTATTTAACAGCAATTTGTTGTACCCATTGGTCCTTGAGTTATAACTATGTCATAATAATGTATTGATTTAAGAGAACTTTTACTTATATGGTAAATGAACATTTTTCGATAATTTCAACAAGGAATCAAGAATTAGATTTAAAATGTAGGTTTGGAATTGTCACGTGAACAATCTTTGGGGAATTTTACATAGGCAAATATTACAGCACTATTGTAAAATCCAACCCCACCCCTATACCAGAAATAAACTAAAGTTTAAATGAAATGGAATTTATCTTACGGAGTTTTCGTTTCCAAATATTGCACTGTAATTTTATAGAGTAACATTATCTTCTTATAATCTAAAAAGAAAGTTGAATTATTAAGAAACTATAATTATACAAAGATTTATATTTTTTGTATATTTTGACGAATCCTTGCAAATAAATAAGTTTACTCTGCATATGCATGTACCGAATGCGAAATAATATAAACTATAGTACGATATTCAATAAAAAATATTAGAACCCGTTTTTCAATAGTTAATGCATTGATAGGAGACCCACAATAGAGACACCAACGCAGTGCCCTACGTCAGTGGCAAATGATATGATGCTAGAAGACGAGACAAGACGCTACGAAACGCGACAGAACGCTACGAATCGCGACAGAATGCTACTAGACGCGACATAACGCTTCCAGACGCGACATAACGCTTCTAAATACGGCTGCTAGATGCGACATAACGCTTCTAGACGCGACAGAACGCTTCTAGATGCGACAGAACGCTACTAGACGCGACATAACGCTTCTAGACGCGACAGAACGCTTCTAGATGCGACAGAACGCTACTAGACGCGACAGAACGCTACTAGGCGCGACATAACACTTTCAGGCGCGAAAAAACGCTACTGGACGCGACACAACCTAATTAATACACGTTAACTTTTCATCTTGTTGAATTTTCATTTTCAACGCGCTAGCCTCGACTTATCATATTTTATGACGTAAGACACAACGCAAGTATACAATCTTTTAACTTATACTGAAGAAAACATACAATTGATAAGTTCTTAGCGTGTATAATGTTTAGTAGGTCAATAATATTACCACTAAAACTATTTATGAGCTAGCGAAACGAGCTGAATAAGCAAAGAAAAAAAAAACAATCGTGAGACAACGATAACGTAACGTAAAATCACAAAAATCATCACCAAACTTAACAAATCCTACTTTAAGGCGAAAAGCTTTGATACAACTACATTTATACAACTATTTATGTTAAATTATACTCTTGAGATGCAGTTATTTAACGTTTTACTAATGTTTTATTAGATCATCCGACCTTAACGTGTAATATAAATTATATGTAATAATCAAACGTAAATCATTTCTGTCCATACATAAATCATTTCAAAAGTCCCATCATTTTCATACTTCAATATAATTTTATATCAATAATGACAATAAGTTTGGTTCGTATCAACGAAGTTACGCTTCTAAGTTACAAGTCGTAAGAACGACTATAATATTACAAACCAAACGATACAATGCTCTAAAACTTTACCTTTTCACTTCCCAAATAAATATTGGTTTCAAAAACGGATCAAAATAATCATGTATATGTTTTGTAAATGTCCGAAAAATTTAGCACATGACACAGTCGTTTTTGTATCAGTCGAAGCATTGAAATAAAATGCAAGTACTGGAGGAGGCCTTTGTCCAGCAGTGGACGTCATTTGGCTGAAACGAACGAACGAACGGGCCACACACATGCAACTTTTAGCATCGGCAATTTGAGATTTTGCGACCGTATTGATGCAGTATCGCGATTTCATACGCTCGGACGCAGTATCGGAATTCCGCGCTTTAGCGACTGTTTTCGCTGCGTCGAGCTTCCGAACAGCGACTCAATCGTCGCGTTTGGCGTTTTTGAGTTTGCGGTAAGGAATGTTTGGTCGCTGCATTCAGCTTCTGCTATAAGTAGCATGTGTGCTTTGGCACCAAGTCTGTTTCATTGTAAAAAACAAAAGCAAACACAGTGTATTCAAATGTGTTTAGGCATTGATTGCCGACGTGTTTTTTATTTGCACCACACAACACTTTTTTTGTAAAGGTGTATCAAATAGAACAAACACATATAATTTATTATAAACCTTTAAATGGTTATTTAACAATTTATGGAAATTCTTTTAGTTCCTATAATAATTCAACAAACATTGTCATGTATGTCATAGATTGTTTTTGCAAAACTTCCAACACTGAGCCTGACAAATACGAAAGTACTTTATTTTATAGTACCACTATAGAAAGTACCTATACTTATTACTTCTTAACAAAAGGGAGAGGGAAAAGTTATTTTTATGGCGAAAACCATCCTTATTATATTATTTCGCTGATCATAATACTTCTATCCAACATTCGAGTAATTATTTAGGTACAGAATAAAGCATGGAGTAATACACCTACCCAGAGACTTGCATTAAGTTACAAAGTTGAAGTAACAATACCTTCTTTAACACTTGAATTTTAAAGCAAATGAAGTACAGAAATTGCTTTGATAATTATTTAACCTTTCGAAAATGGAAAAGCCAAAATACACGTGTACTGACGAAAAATATAACTCATTTTTATAGTCGTCTCTTTTCATTTGTTAAAGAGAAAAGAAGATGGAATCAGGAGGCGATCTTTGGTATTTTAAAATGTAATCCAAAGGTCGAATACACTCTCTTTTAGTAGGGTATAGTCTAGTCTGTGAGCAAGTAGAATTTTGTCCAATGACCCCAAGCTACCCATCCTTATCGCTCGCGCGTAATTAATTATTGCTGTCGCGACTGTGCGACGGGCGCCCGCAGTGAGTGTGCGAGCGCGATAGCAACATAATTACGCGCGAGCGATAAGAATGGGTAGCTTGGGGTCATTGGACAAAATTCTACGTGCTCGCAGACCAGACTATAGATAAAAGCACTTTCTTTAATAATCAAAATACCTATCCCGTTCACCGTAAAGTTAATAAGAAGACACTAATAAAGTAATAAAAATTCGAGTTTTTCACACAAGCTAAGACCACATCGTACTATCAATAATTTTATAGAATAATCCTAATTTTATCCTAAGAATAGAGATCAGTTTTGAAAAGCCCAAAACGTAAACGAATACTGTGGGTCTAGACAAAGTGCACATTTTAATCGCAAACCAGTCGAAAAGTGGTCGAAAAGCTTTTTTTTGTATGGAATTTTGACGGATTCGATTTTCGATTCGATCAAAAAGTGTACTTAGACAAAGTGCACATTTTAATCGCAAACCAGTCGAAAAGTGGTCGATAACCCTTTTTTTGTATGGAGTTTTGACGGATTCGATTTTCGATTCGATCAAAAAGTGCACTTTGTCTAGACCCACTGAAGCAATTTTAGTTCTTTGAAAAAAGTTTATTTCCTTCATTTCGTTCTACGAAATTGGATTTTTCAAAATTGATTGACAGTAGTGACGTATTTGCTATATTTTTTTTTTAAGTTTTTATGTCAATAAAGAAACCTTTACACAGTCCGATTTTACAAACGCGTGAAAAAAACGTATATTTGGAAGATATTTCTTAACTTTCGTGGTAATAATATAAATCGATGTCATAATGGAATGTAAGACGATTCTGACTGTGTATTGGTTTCAAATATTATAAGATGTTTTATATTATTATTAATATTTCACTATTAAAATCTATGTAGACCCTATTCGTATATTAAGTTAAATCCAGGTATTTAACCGCATCTGGATAAATAATATATTTGCTATATAGAATTGAATCATTCACTTTGATATTTTGTAACATATCGAAGATATCAAGGAAGTTCACGGTGAATGTTTTAATCTTACTAGTAATTTGTTATGTATCATAGTAAATGATTCAGTAATCACGGACTAGAATATGTTTTTTATCTTTTCAAGGTACACACGATATGTCAACCTTACAGCACCGTCACACTTGGCGGTCAAACGCGAAACGCCTAATGTAAGAACAAAAGGATAAAATAGTAAAGGTGATTACCCATTGGAAGCCTTCGCGTGTAATGTAATAGGCCAAGACTCAATTTTAACTAGAATTCTTTGTTGTAAAGTTCAAAACGAATATATAAAGTTACCGTATTATACTTAAATCATAGCAAGTGGATGAAGGGCCTTACACACAAATGCTCTCAATGAGAAACTACTTTTAAGGTATTTTTTCAATTGTTGGATCTGTCAAATGCTGACATACAGCTGTGAACGAAAGAAAAATTGCATACACGTATTTAATTTGTATACATGCATATTATATTATCACAGAAAATTAAAATATTCAATTTATTGAAAAATAACCTATAGAAATAACTAAAGAGGATTCAATACTGTAGATGATTTTGCAACAAACCAACATAAACTTTACTTTTACTTCATGCGGTTTTAAAAACGCAGCGTTCCGACCGCCAAGTGTAAAGTCCCACGTACAATTTAGTAGTCAATATTGGTTAATTTAAAGGTGAGATACCTGGGGCTGGCCTAGACGTTTAAGGTACCAAGTTGAGTATGTTCCTGTGTTCCAGGGACTCTTTGAGAGCGTAGAATAACTGCAACTGCTGTTCTGGTTTCAAGTTGTATACCTGGAAAGCAGATTAGTATCGTAATTAAGGGGATCGTTTGTTCATTGAGCTATTAATAAAGGGTTACAGTATTTTCACTTGACTAGTTCGCGCCACTGTCTAAGCCACTAGAGAGTGACATGAACTTATTCGACAGAGGCGCCAACCGTATACAGGGTGGAAACGATAAGTGATCTTACTCGATTATTTCTAAACTATACACGATATCAAAAAACTAGTTACTGATCCTGAAAGTGCTTCATGAGCTCTTTCAAACGGCCCCAATAGCAGGTTACAGAATAAACTGGATCTATCTGAAAATTCAATGTTTCCAGCTTCCATACATTTGGTAAAGCAACATAATATTACACAATATACATAGTAATAGTTTTTCGATATCTTGTAAAGTTTAAGAATAATCGAGTGAGATCACTTATCGTTTCCACTCTGATTACGGTGGCCCTAACATATTTTTTAACGTCCCGTTAACCTCTGGTGGTAATCTAATATTATGCTTGTTGGGTTTACCACAATAGTCCAGGTCACGACAAGTTTCGAATCCACAATCCTAATCCGACCGACACCGACACTATTGGCAGAGTAAATACAAATGAGTAGGTCATCTTCATAGAAACGCACCGAGCGCGGTTTGTATGTGAGCGCGCCAATACGTATGCGGCGCGCACGCACACACTGACAAAATTTAGCGTGGATTAGCGGGGTGTTGCGCCGAATTGTATTTGTATTTACTCTGCTATTGGGCTATTGTCACTGTACCAGAGGCGAATAGAGCATTAATTTGGCCTACACTCCCTACGCTGACCAGATGGTTTGGGGAAGCCTGATTTTCACATATTGGTATACCATTCGTGGGGGTACTCCTACTCTGCGCTTTAGAATAATGAATATCTACCTCTCTCTCGCATACTATGGGCCTCATAAGAAGGCTCAAGGTCACCCAAAGAGCGATGGAGCGTGCTATGCTCGGAGTTTCCCTGCGTGATCGAATCAGAAATGAGGAGATCCGTAGGAGAACCAGAGTGACTGACATAGCCCAAAAAATCATCGCTAAAATCAAGTGGCAGTGGGCGGGGCACATAGCTCGTAGAGCTGATGGGGCAGGAAATTTCTTGAGTGGCGACCACGAGCCGGAAGACGTAGCGTAGCCAGACCTCCCACTAGGTGGACCGACGATCTGGTGAAGTCGCGGGAGGTGCCTGGATGCGAGCGGCACAGGACCGGTCTTTGTGGAAATCCTTGGGGGAGGCCTTTGTCCAGCAGTGGACGTCTTTCGGCTGAAACGAACGAACGAACCTCTCTCTCTCTCTTATTTCCTCTCCTCAACGACCGGTCCTGAATTCTATGATGAACATAATCACTGATTACGATGATACCTGCTGCAGCAGCTTCTGCGGCGTGGCGGTGCGGATGAAGCTGGTGATGTAGACGTTGACGAACGTGGCCATGAGGAACTGGCAGTCGAAGCGGTCCATGATGCCGCCGTGACCTGGGATCACGTCGCCGAAGTCCTGGGAAAAAACAAGGAACAAATTACAATGGGACTCGGAATCATCATAATTAATTTTGGTCTCTGTTACAGGACCATAAATCTTTCTAATTTAGAGGCAAATCGAGGATTCGTCATCATCAGATAATTTAATGTCTAGGACAGGAAAACGACTCTAACTAATTAGAGGCAAACGAAGGATGTATTCTACAGGCTGGCTAAACGGGTTGAGGAGGCCTGATATTTAAAATTTGACCTTAAGTCGCTTCATGTTATTCACAGGATGAGTGAGAATGGTCCTATAGAACAGCTAGGGACTGGAATTCGCTGCCTGCTGCTGTCTTTCCTGAATACAATAATCCGGACCTTTTTTTGCGAGTTATCTTGACAGGGCCGATTATCATGTACCATCCTAGACTGCACCTCACCACAGAATAAGTAATAGTACAGGTACAGAAGGATTACTCCGCAAGACGATTTAAATAAATGCGAGTCTTGCTACGACGCGATACAGTGGAATTCAGCTCGCACAGCACTACGTACCGACAATTTTATTCACCTACAAGTTTTGTCTTTTTCTATCGCGTGCCTCTGAACTCTTCGTACGCTGTTAGGGTTGCTGTCTAGTAGTGTCTAGTAAAAAAATAATTAATCTACTTATTTGTAATGAGTACGTATGTAGGTAAGTACGCATTCATTATGGAAAACCTTGGGAGAGGCCTTTGTCCAGCAGTGGACGTCATTGATTGGCTGAAACGAACGAACGCATTCTGAGCAGTAGTCATGGTAGGTTAGGTTCCTATACTATCCTAAGAATTATTGATTACCTACATGGCCAACATACCTTTCAGCATCTTTGGGAAGCGAAAAAAAAGATAAATCCGGTAGATTTCTTTTCGAATTTAAACACCCGAACGCCGCACAATAATATTTCTTTCTCTTTATGTCCATTTTTAAATAATACTTCGAACATACAATTAGGTACTACAACGCACGCCAGCGTCCTGACGGGCGCGCGCGTGACACTCGACTGATATAATACCCGCCGGCGGGGCGCTTCGCTGTAGGTAATTATCGGATGTACCGCGCGGAGTGAGCCAGGCCTGACCTCACTTAACACCGGGTGCGATTGCAGTCAAATACCTGCCTTGTCTTGCATAAAAAAAAAAATCTGCTCTATCGCTAGAAATGTACCTACTGTTGTAGTCTCTTTCAGATTTTGACATCGGTGTATGGACGTCTATAGAAACGTGACACGTTTAATAGGAGACTGCAGTCTACAAGAAATACATACCTACTTACTACTAATAACACTGTTACCATTTTGAATGACGTTAAAGAATAAATAAATAACAGCTCACCTTGATCTTAAACGCGCGCTTGAATCCAGACGCGAAGAAGCCTCCAAACGGCCCGATGACCGAGCTGAAGATGCTGAGTGCGAGCGAGTGGATCATGAACGGGTACATGTTGAACTTCTCCATGCCCAGCTGTGGAGAGAACAGGAATTGGTTTATAAATATAGCAAAATTATATACCAAGCAAATTGCTAGCAAATATTGCTTGAATGGGTAATGGGTGTTTTAATGTATCCATTAGATACATACCATGAAAACAGATACTAGCTGCACTGTGTCTGCAGGTAGACAATGTAACATTCTAGATTTTGTTTCACTATATTGTAATACAGTTTTGTACACACACCTACAGTTTTGTACTTAGGATCACGCTTATGATAATTTTTTCGACGGTGGTAAGTCCACCTGCTTCAGATCCAGAGGTCCCGGGTTCGATTCCAAGTAGGGGCAGATATTTCTGTTCGGTTTCAAGCTTGTTCACTAGCTACCACCGTCTTACCTAAATCTGTCACCACAACAACAATGTAACAGCATTGTTGTGTTCCGGCAGTTGGAAGTACGATAGCCAGTTCCTCTTTGGTTGAGGATTCCGGATGATGCTCAATACTCAATGCTTTATTGCTCCACCACATTTAGGTCTTACAATTCAAGCAGATCAATGTGGACCCAGTTAGGGAACAGCAACCTTCCACCTTCAGCCTCACCATCACTTTCCAAGTGAGAAGCAGGCCATGAGCTTCCTCGTTGTGGATAGATGAATGGACTAATATATAATGGTGAAGATATACCTCCTCTAAGTTCATCATCATTATCATCATTTCAGCCATAGGACGTCCACTGCTGAACATAGGCCTCCCCCAATGTTTTCCATGTTGATTGATGCGGTCTAATGTCCAGCGCTTCCCTGCTACCTTTATGATGTCGTCGGTCCAGCTTGTGGGTGGACGTCTCACGCTGCGTTTTCCGTCCTCTAAGTTACGTGAAGATTTGTCAAATGCTAAGGAAACTCACCACTTTCATAACAGGCTGCACGAACTGAGGCGGCGTGTACTCCTGCAGACGGAACAGCTGCGACGGCTCGCAGTCCATCGTCATGCGGCCGAGCGATTCCGAGTACTCGATCGGGCACACCAGGTACGGGTATTGGGACATCATGTACAATTGGGTCCGTCTACCGCTACTGTGGTCTAGTGGTAAGTCCACCTGCTTCAGATCCAGAGGTCCCTGGTTCGATTCCAAGTAGGGGCATATATTTCTGTTCGGTTTCAAGCTTGTTCACTAGCTACCACCGTCTTACCTAAATCTGTCACCACAACAACAATGTAACAGCATTGTTGTGTTCCGGCAGTTGGAAGTACGATAGCCAGTTCCTCTTTGGTTGAGGATTCCGGATGACGCTCAATACTCAATGCTTTATTGCTCCACCACATTTAGGTCTTACAATTCAAGCAGATCAATGTGGACCCAGTTAGGGAACAGCAACCTTCCACCTTCAGCCTCACCATCACTTTCCAAGTGAGAAGCAGGCCATGAGCTTCCTCGTTGTGGATAGATGACTGGACTAATATATAATGGTGAAGATATACCTCCTCTAAGTTCATCATCATTATCATCATTTCAGCCATAGGACGTCCACTGCTGAACATAGGCCTCCCCCAATGTTTTCCATGTTGATTGATGCGGTCTAATGTCCAGCGCTTCCCTGCTACCTTTATGATGTCGTCGGTCCAGCTTGTCCAGGACGTCTCACGCTGCGTTTTCCGTCCTCTAAGTTACGTGAAGATTTGTCAAATGCTAAGGCAACTCACCACTTTCATGACAGGCTGCACGAACTGAGGCGGCGTGTACTCCTGCAGACGGAACAGCTGCGACGGCTCGCAGTCCATCGTCATGCGGCCGAGCGATTCCGAGTACTCGATCGGGCACACCAGGTACGGGTATTGGGACATCATGTACAACTGGGTCTGTCTACCGCTACTGTGGTCTAGTGGTAAGTCCACCTGCTTCAGATCCAGAGGTCCCGGGTTCGATTCCAAGTAGGGGCAGATTTCTGTTCAGTTTCAAGCATGTAAGTCCGCCTGGCTAGCTACCACCATCTTACCAAAATTTGACACCATACCAACAATGTAACAGCATTGTGGTGTTCCGGCAGTTGGAAGTAAAATAGCCAGTTCCTCTTTGGTTGAGGATTCCAGATGATTCTCGCTTCCACCTTCAGGCTCACCATCTCTTTCCATGGTGAGATGCAGACCATGAGCTTCCTCGTTGTGGATAGATGTCTGGACTAATATGTAATGGTGAACATATACCTCCTCTAAGTTCATCATCATCATCATCATTTCAGCCATAGGACGTCCACTGCTGAACATAGGCCTCCCCCAATGTTTTCCGTGTTGATTGATGCGGTCTACGTCCAGCGCTTCCCTGCTACCTTTATGATGTCGTCGGTCCAGCTTGTCCAGGACGTCTCACACTGCGTTTTCCGTCCTCTAAGATACGTGAAGATATTGTCAAATGCTAAGGCAACTCACCACTTTCATAACAGGCTGCACGAACTGAGGCGGCGTGTACTCCTGCAGACGGAACAGCTGCGACGGCTCGCAGTCCATCGTCATGCGGCCGAGCGATTCCGAGTACTCGATCGGGCACACCAGGTACGGGTATTGGGACATCATGTACAACTGGGTCTGTCTACCGCTACTGTGGTCTAGTGGTAAGTCCATCTGCTTCAGATACAGAGGTCCCGGGTTCTATTCCAAGTGGGGGCATATATTTCTGTTCGGTTTCAAGCTGGTTCAAGTCTGCCTGGCTAGCTACCACCATCTTACCTAAATCTGTCACCATAACAATGTAACAGCATTGTTGTGGTCCGGCAGTTGGAAGTACGATAGCCAGTTCTTCTTTGGTTGAGGATTCCAGATGATTCTCGCCTCCACTTTCAGGCTCACCATCTCTTTCCATGGTGAGATGCAGACCATGAGCTTCCTCGTTGTGGATAGATGACTGGACTAATATGTAATGCTCCTCTAAGTTCATCATCATCATAATCATTTCAGCCATAGGACGTCCACTGCTGAACATAGACCTCCCCCTATGTTTTCCATGTTGATCGATTGGTAGCGGCCTGCGTCCAGCACTTCCCCGCTACCTTTATGATGTCGTCGGTCCAGCTTGTGGGTGACACTGCGTTTTCCGTCCTCTAAGATACGTGAAGATATTGTCAAATGCTAAGGCAACTCACCACTTTCATAACAGGCTGCACGAACTGAGGCGGCGTGTACTCCTGCAGACGGAACAGCTGCGACGGCTCGCAGTCCATCGTCATGCGGCCGAGCGATTCCGAGTACTCGATCGGGCACACCAGGTACGGGTATTGGGACATCATGTACAACTGTCTCTGTCTACCGCTACTGTGGTCTAGTGGTAAGTCTATCTGCTTCAGATCCAGAGGTCCCTGGTTCGATTCCAAGTAGGGGCAGATATTTCTGTTCGGTTTCAAGCTTGTTCACTAGCTACCACCGTCTTACCTTAATCTGTCACCACAACAACAATGTAACAGCATTGTTGTGTTCCGGCAGTTGGAAGTAAGATAGCTAGTTCCTCTTTGGTTGAGGATTCCGGATGATGCTCAATACTCAATGCTTTATTGCTCCACCACATTTGGGTCTTACAATTCAAACAGATCAATGTGGAGCCAATTAGGGCACAGCAACCTTCCACCTTCAGCCGCACCATCACTTTCCATAAAGTGAGATTCAGGCCATGCTTCCTTGATGTGGATAGATACTGGACTGATGTGTAATGCATATGCCTCCTCTTAGTTCATCATCATCATCAGCCATAGGACGTCCACTGCTGAACATAGACCTCCCCCAATGTTTTCCATGTTGATTGATGCGGCCTACGTCCAGCGCTTCCCTGCTACCTTTATGATGTCGTCGGTCCAGCTTGTGGGTGGACGTCTCACGCTGCGTTTTCCCTCCTCTAAGTTGAAGATATCGTCAAATGCTAAGGAAACTCACCACTTTCATGACAGGCTGCACGAACTGAGGCGGCGTGTACTCCTGCAGACGGAACAGCTGCGACGGCTCGCAGTCCATCGTCATGCGGCCGAGCGATTCCGAGTACTCGATCGGGCACACCAGGTACGGGTATTGGGACATCATGTAGGATAGCTGTAACAATGCAGGTTATTGACGTTGAGGTGGTAGTTAACATCTAGAATGGGAATATTCTCATTTGGAATTCTCACTGCTGCATCTTTATATCTGGATCTAGATTAAATGCCCGCCTGCGACGATATTAATCAGAAGAGTAAAGAAGGAGTTCGAAGTCCTAGATCGCATTCTCTCCAGTGCAAAGCAGAATAATAAAGGTATATTAAAACTTAAAGAAAAAATATTGCCATCATCAAAGGTTACTAACACAGATATGTATATCTGATTAGTTCCAGGTGTCAATAGCTTTGTTTAAAAACCTCAAATAAAGCTCCTTGATCATGGCAGTGGAGAATTCTGATGATCCGACTTAAACGTGCCCAAGTCTACAAGTGTTATATTTCTTTCTGTCTATAAAAGGCTGACAACGGTGACCGAATTTTTCAACATTTCTGCTCACCACCTGCCGATATGTTAGGAATAAAAGAGTTTCCTTACCACAAGTCCAAATATGACAGTGGAGAATCCACCACCAATGAATCCTTCCCAGGTCTTCTTGGGACTCAGCTTGATGAGAGGCGTCTTCCCGAAGAAGAATCCGAACACGTACGCCATGACGTCATTGCAGATTATCATCGACACCGGCACTATGAACCAGATCAGTCCTGGAAGAGATTTTAGTAAATTAATGACGTAATTCAATTAAACATGTGGAAAATGTTATGTTCGAAAAAAACAAAAATTCATATAAGGTCACCCTGGGCGAAAGCAACTATGAGGCTAAAGTGACTAAATTGGTTTTATTCTTAATCTGATGTATTTTGAACAAAGTGTAATCTCTTAAAGCATAGAGAAATATTGCTTTTTATGATTCAACAGATGACACTTGGCCACTTTAGCCTCATAGTTGCTTTCGTCCCGGGTAACCTTTTATAATTTTGACGAGTGAATAGTTCAGATTTGAGGACTGAAATCCTTTGATAATGTACAACCCCTCTCTCTGATTGAACAGAGACAAATATAGATTCGTGTTAGTTTAGATCAGGTGAGATGGGACGATGATGCTTGATGATACATCGGGGACAATGTAGGTAAAAATAATTACAAATTAGCAATCAACTTAAACCAACCCAAAGTGATGACAGTTATTGAAAATCAATACGCAAATTCATATTCATACATCATAACAACTCTCATTGCTGTAGAATTCAAATATTGTCTTATCGCAACCGCCACTAGCTAGCTGTTGAACTTGAGAGCTACTCAAGTCAACGCGAAACCGACAATTACGAGGCTTATCGTAAATCATAGTTCAGTGCACGCGCACTGGCAGACGCATTATGACCAATCAGTGCGGATTGTTTCAAAACCCAGTTTTGTTGGTGGTCTACTCCGTAAATATTGTCTCTTGGTCTTTCCGATGGGTAAATCAGGGCGAGTGAGAGAGACAAATTTCGAAATCGATAGCGTAGTAGGGTCTAGTAATGGATATTTAACTGGCTGTCTGTCTCTTACTCTCTCCAGTGGGTAAATCAGAGCGAGTGAGAGAGACAAATTAGAAATAGTTTGCGTAGTGGGGTTGCTAATGGATTTTTAACTGGTTGTCATTGGCGACAAGGTTTTATCTCGATCGACGGTGATCTACTTATGGAATAGCTTGCTACTCTATAAAAAAGGTCGATGACCCTTCAATTATTGAAATCCGTCAGCTATTTAATCTTTATTGCATAAACAGAAAGGGAGACGGAAAACGCGGCGTCGGACGTCGACCGATGACATCATAAAGGTAGCAGGAAGGCGCTGGACGCAGGCCGCTACCAACCGGGCAACATGGTAAGCATTGGGGGAGGCCTATGTTCAGCAGTGGACGTCTTATGGCTGAGATGAAGATGATGATGAAAGGGAGACCGACGACCTCATAAAGGTAGCAGGAAAGCATTGGATGCAAGCCGCTACCAACCGGGCAATATGGAAATCATTGGGGGAGGCCTATGTTCAGCAGTGGACGTCGTGTGGCTAAAATGATGATGGATGATAAATATAGCACAATGCAATTTACTCGTATATTTCTCATTTACAATATTACGCGTCTTCAGCTCGCGAGTACGTTACGCGATAAGAATCGCAGTCAGTGTTTGCGATCACCAGATAAAATGATAACTGCAAATGGATCGATAGCCTATCCCAGGTTTATGGACCGATATGTGGCACTTGGGCATGTTTTGAATACTTTTTATAATGCATGTGGTACTTTTTATACCTGGAGAGTGGAGAGTCGTCGATAGTCTAACAGTAAGACTCTAACATGATCATGGCTTATCTGCGTTGCCCTTTTTTTGGTGTCCAATGTCGTAAAGGGATATTTTTAATCGCAAAATTCTGACCGAGAAAAATATGATGACATTGACATGAAGGATGGAAAAAGTGACTACGACCTTAGCATAAGGACATATTTGACGAAGCATAAAAAGGGTAGAACTTAAAAATAGCAGGTTATGAAAAAGGGCCTGCGAGATTTTACTACAGTTTTGGCAACATTAAGGCGTTTCAGTTAAAACTTTTGATAGAAATGTCGATGTAATAATAAAATATCTCCATAGTTTTCTACACCACTGTCACTGATGTCATATTAGTTTGTTTGTACTACGAAAGAAATACAAATATTTGTCAAAATTGTCTGAAAATCGCGCAAGGCACATTAGAGGTACAATGAGCATTGGTCTTCCATTTAATTTGCATACAATAGGCCGTTCTAAAGTCCACGTTAAATTATAACCACCGCGTTACGGGTGGCGGTATTAATCAAGTTATTTGACGACAGAATGAATAAATTACACTTTCATTCGGTTTTGTTTCGAGGGAGGTATTAGAGAACTTATTTAGCCACTGATTTTCACCACTAAGCACAGTTTGTATGGCAAGCGTTGTCTACTTGGCAGAACGCATCGAACGCACCAATCATTTTATTGTAATCGTGATCTCTTTATACCTAATTAAAAAATAAACGTTGAGATTTATATGGTTTTATTTCGTTTACAACTCGTGGAACCAAATAATCCATACTGGTTTGATCATTCAAATTTTGACCCTTGTTCACTGACACTGAGTACGATTTTGAATATGTGTGTGAGTTCAGCTGAAAAAATCTAATAATAATGATTACCGAGATCTACGGGGTTAAGATCGGCATGTGTGAACTACGTAAACAATATGGCGGAATGTTGCTTAACGATGGTAAGGGACGTAAAATGCGGTGTTTGATGCAAAAATAGATCAGAGAATTATTAAATAATATGTTTTACAACAGTTAAAAACAGTATAATTTATTAAAAATCCAGCTTATCTAAGAAAACCATTATTTGTAAGACCTAAGGCCCAGTTCTTCATTTCCAAATAAAGTTTTATATCTGACATAATGAAACGCTATCTGACAAATAAAAGCTTCTACCTATCTAACGGGTTTACCGCATTATCGGATTCTTCATCTGTCAGATATCTTACGAAATATTTATAAGCAAAGTTGTAGATAATAATCTATAGATAAGTTTCTAACAGACCATTAAGGACTTAAGGAAAAATAACAGGTTCTTCATCTTACTTTATCCCGACGAAAATTAGTTAACCCAACATGACATAAATACTCAGAAGGCAGCGGGAGAGCGTTATCGATCCCTCGTTGTTGGTTCTATTTTAGACTAGCCCAATACTTTATAGTCCGTGTCAACTTACCTGACAATAAAGACCCTCTTTACACGTCAGAGCCGGTGTCATATGGGCTTTGAAAACCCAGACGCGATATATTGCTTTATTCACTTTATATTTTTATGGAAATTCGTGAGAAAAACTTACCTAAAAACTTAATACGTTAGGAAGAATAGTAGAGTCAACAGCACAACAATTTTATTCCAAAACTAAACGTCCCCGCGACCTTGTACGCGTAAAAATAGTTTGAATAATATTTCACGATTTTGCAACATTTTTCTTTACTGCTCCATCCCTATTGGCTGTAGGGTGGTGTAAAAAGCCTGCCTTCCTCGATAATTGAGCTATCCATCCAATGCTTTTTTTTTTAATCGAACCAGTAACTCCTGAGATTAGCTCTAACTCTTCAGATTTATAATATTAAGTATTTATAGTACCTACCTTTTACAGCGGCACAGGATGCCACAATGTTTACTTTGATATGACGTTTTTAGTAAAATATAATCCTCTAAAATCCGGCGATCAAAACTCGTTACAATGTTTGCCCTCGTGGCTACAATCTACTGAATGAAGGGCAAACACATTCGACCTCGAAAAACCGGCCAACCGACATATTTTCATCGCTGCGAATTGTCAAGTTAAATTGTAATAGCTGTGTTATTCCAGACATCAATTTACCAACTAAAATAATCTACACAATATTATACAGAGGAAAAATTTGTTTATGTCTAAATTGAATATGCTCCGAAACTACTGGACTAATTTGAAAAAAAAAAATTCACCAATAGCCATATAAATACAACATGTGTGGCTTATATTTAAGTCCTTAAAAAACTTTCTTTTCGCAAAAACCGACAGTTCATTTCGCAGAAATGACCAAGCATTGACACTTAAAATGCCCTTCAGGGTGGACGCGAACAAACAGGAGTCAGTCAGGCAGGAGGCATTAATCTCAAAATAAATCGTCAGTTATTCGACATTTTGACATATTTCCCATACTGAAACTGTCAATGTGCCAGTTATACCAGGAGTTATTCTCGGATAAAAGTTTGGTCGAATTGGGCCTTAATAAACTATGTAACAGGTAAAATTCGTTTAATGGTTCAAAAAGAGCACTTTGTAGCTAACCCTTCAGGGCTGCCCCTATTGCCCAACCACTCGTAAACGCTTCGGAAGTCGCTTGCGGAATAATCGCTTCCTCGCTTCTACGCGCCATCGAGAAATTTCGAATGGTTTGTTTTTAGACGCGTACATTTTACTTACATTCCAGTTCATGGTCAAGATAACAACAGGGTATTTTTAGTATGACTTGGTTCAGTTTTCGAATTTATGAAAATAGTTCTGATGTATGAAGAGTATAAAACCAGAGAAGTCAGGTCTAAGTCATGGTAACAAATGACGCTGAATTCTAATGACCTATTAAATAGCTTCCGGTGTATACTTGGTAGGTGGTAGGTCCTTGCCATCACCAAATTAACTAAGCCATAACAACAATATTGTTGTGTGTCGGCTTTTGGAGGTAAGATAGCCAGTTCCTCTGATGTAAATCATTCCGGGTAAAGTTCGCTTCCACCTTTGACCTGATCTCTTTCTCCATCAGATGAAATCCAGTCCAAGATCTTCCCCATTGCAGCCCCTAGTAATACAGTCGGCAGCACATCCAACTATATTTTTTTGTTGCAAAATTAGCATTTATCGCAACTGTCAGTACACTGTTACTGGCTTCGCCTATAGAACCCCACGGCGAAAATCTCTGGCTTCCCGCAACCCTAACTAGGCCATCGATCGGGCTCTACTATGTCTTCCAATGCGTCGCGTCGAGAACCTTCTGGAAAAATGGCCGTGCAAACAACGGTTGTCAGTTCTACGAGAGATACATATGGCTTTCCCCATGTCATATTCATTGAGCAAATCAAAGTCTTGTGTCGCGAAAGTGGCACATTTTTAGAGCTAGCACTCTAAAAATGTGCCACTTTCGCGTTGGCCGGCCTAAAAGCCGTCATATCAAACTTTACCAACGTGCTCAAAATGAGCATGGCAAAAAAAATGCAAGATAATTTTCTCTACTGGCCAGAAACTTTTTTTAGGCACTAACTTCTACCAGCCGGGCTAGGATGCGCGCCGTGATATACTTGATCGACGTTAAAATGTATAGGCAAAATCGATAAAATGGCGTGATAACCGCTTATCGCGGCACGCATCCTAGGCTTACAGGACAAATAAATTAGCATCAACAGTTCTCACAGAGATTTAAAAAAGTCTCCAAGTAGTTAACACAAAGATTATAGAGTGGCTAAGTACACCCTTATGCAATATGCAGCATAAGGATCTACTCTATAATCATTTAATCAGCCTCTAACTGCAGTTGCAGCAAAACAGTCATTAACTCGGAGTACACATTAACATGAGTACAGTCAGCCTCAATAGTGATATCCAAAGTAGCCTATGTGCAACCATGTCTTTGTTACAATTGGAATAATGTTGTGTTGTCAACTTTTTGGCCACTGGGAGTCACGAACTATTTGAAGCGCACCTATGCTATGTTGCCCTGATACATGGGAAATATGTCAAAATGACAAATTTATTCTTCATCAGATAAAATATATCTGACGATTGAAAAATCGTCCCCCCTTAGTAGACACGACGTATTTTAATAAACATAGGTGCGCTTCGAGGAATACCTCAAAATAGCACTTATCACAACGGAATAAGTTGCCAGTGTGGAGCTTGTTGTGCTGTTGTACATAATAATATGTTGTTTTGTTGCTTTCGGCTGATTCACGCCGACTGGCAAAGTGATCTATTTCTGTCAGCTTCCCGCGTAACAACATGTGAGTGGGTAAAGGTGGCACTACTGTATGAGCGAGTAGCGGAATTGTATTTCTCTAAGGAGCAATAGATGGCGATAAGGTTACCAAAAGATAAGGTTTTTATTATTTTTTTTTTCTTCTTCTTTCTGTTTTAGTTGTGTAGCGCTGCATACAGGCACCCACTGAAAATCAGTGTCTTGGCAGTCACACTGTCAAGATATTACTGAGTGGGTGACCTTTTTGGCAACTTAGTAATTTTTTTAATGTATGTCTTTGTTGCCTGAATCAGTTGTTGCCAAAATAAAATTATTGTCTTTCTTTCTCTTTCTTCTTCTATAAGATGTCAAGTAAATTATTATACTTACGCCAGTATTCACAAACATTTCTATGTCTCACAGTGCGCGTGGACGCACAGGATGACACACGAACCAATCACAGAGCTCTATTCAACGCTGTGCGTTCGATTTGCTGCTTCACTTAAGCAAGCATTGTTTGTGAATACGGGCGTTAGGGTCAATCAGCTTTTTTCAATCCACCAAAACAGGATAATCAGACAATTACCGCCGTCCAGTTTAAATTGAATAGGAAAGAAGTATTCAAAATGTATTTCAATATGCAGTCCCAATAAAACGGTCCTATTGTCAATGGCACATTTTCCTTAAGATTAAATTATGAATAAAGTCATGCATGAGCCAAATTGTTCCAAATAATATCACAACAATTGGATTTTGGTGAAAAATCACTGTTATTTTTTACAATATTATTTTTCTATTCTAAAGAACTGTATTTATCCAAACTTATGAGTGGAACAAATTAAAATAACGACAAGACGGGCTGGCTTATCGCGGCCTACTGGTAGTTTTGTATTGTGTTATAATAATTAATAAAAAGTGTAGACATAAGCACTTTAATTTATATTACTATCATAATAAAGATTAGATTCCGTACTGGCTTAGCCGCGACCTCGGCATTGAACCTAATTAATTTAGCGTCGCAAATCGCTCCGTCTGGGCACTAAGCTACGACTTGCCCCAGATTATATGAGGCTTCCCGTCCGTGACAATGCAAACACACAGGACTGTCTTATCGCAGCTATTGTCGTTTGTATCAATGCAAACAATTGCTACTTGTCTTTTGTCTTTTTTAATTATTTATTGCTTCATTTTGGTTGAATGTATTAAGCGCCGCTAAAATCGCTCCGTCTGACCACTAAGTAACGCCCTGTCCTAGATTCTATGAGGCTTCCCCGTCCGTGACAATGCAAACACACAGGACTGTCTTATCGCAGCTATTGTCGTTTGTATCAATGCAAACAATTGCTACTTGTCTTTTGTTTTTTAATTATTTATTGCTTCATTTTGGTTGAATGTATTTAGCGCCGCAAAAATCGCTCCGTCTTGCCACTAAGCTACGCTCTGCTCTAGATTCTCTGAGGCTTCCCCGTCCGTGACAATGCAAACACACAGGACTGTCTTATCGCAGCTATTGTTGTTTGTATCAATGCAAACAATTGCTACTTGTCTTTTGTTTTTTAATTATTTATTGCTTCATTTTGGTTGAATGTATTAAGCGCCACAAAATTCGCTCTGTCTGGCCACTAAGCTACGCCCTGCCCTAGATTCTATGAGGCTTCCCCGTCCGTAACAATGCATGGTACAGAACTGTCTTATCGCACCTATTGTTGTTTGTATCAATGCTAACAATTATTGCTACTTCTTTTGTTTTTTTAATTCTTTATTGCTTCATTTTGTTTGAATGTATTAAGCGCCACAAACCGCTCCGTCTGACCACTAAGCTCCGCCCTGCCCTAGATTCTATGAGGCTTCCCCGTCCGTGACAATGCATGGTACAGAACTGTCTTATCGCAGCTATTGTCGTTTGTATCAATGCAAACAATTGCTACTAGTCTCTTGTTGTTTCTGTTGTATGTGTGATGTCGTTCTGACGTCAATACGGTTGTCTAAGATATATTGGCGCATTTTTTTTTGTTTGTTGTCATCTTTCGAGAATAGTGTCGAACATTAGTCCAAAGGTGTTTTGAGTTTAGAAGAACTGATGTTCATCAACAAATCACTATTCCCATTGACTCTCCCCATCAACTATGGGGTATCGTAGGCTTTCTCTACTCATTCCCATCCCCAAAAAAGTTGAGAAACAGAGTCAATGAGGATTATGTGGAAAATCCCGCCTATGGCTTACGTCACCGCTTGCTCCTGGTACTATCTTACTTCAAACCAAGAAACTTGCCTTCACTGCTGAAGAACTGGACCAATTCTACCTTTCTTTCCAATCACCGCTTGCTCCTGGTACTATCCTACTTCTGACCAAGAAACTGCCTTCACTGATGAAGAACTGGACCAATTCTACCTTTCTTTCCCATCACTGCAACTCCTGTATAATCAGGATCCACAGTTTAGCCTCCAATGAAACCCAACCATTGAAGCTTGGGTAGCTTACTGTCTTATTGGAAGATCGGAACCCGCGACGAATTTAATTACTAGGCGTCAGGTTATCAAATATATTCATAAATATAGGTAAAAAGGGTGATAAATCATTATCACAGTGGGCTCTATGCTTAACCTATTCAGGTACATGAAGGTTATAAATCAATAATAAGTGTAACATAAAGTTGTTTTTCTCAAACGCAGGGCATTAAACGTAAACATCGAGTAACGTAGGTAACAAAAACAAAAGCGATAAGGTATACCTTATTATTAATAGCCCGTGTTTTATTGAACAAGGTCAATTATAAACTGCGTGGTGCAATCGAATGAGAGTTCGATGACCGTTATGGTGTGAGTTGGGACTCTACAACTCACGAATCACAATAGACTTGCGAATTTGGGATCGTTTCGCTACGTCTGGAACTCCTGAAGAAAACGGAGCGGGGATTTGTTAGATGAATTTCGCGTATGCTTTATTAAGTTGCAGCGAATTTTAGAATCGCATTTTTTAGCGAATCATATTTGTATGGGATGAGTGGGATTAACACATTATGACTTGACAGTGCATACAAATCTAGTCTCGCTGACAAAAACACTACAGTGCTGCTTAAATACCTCAGGCACTGACTGAATTATGCGATAGTTCCATAATAGCAATATTTAACTGGACAGTTCAACATTTTGAGAAAATCTGCTCCTTCGAATTTAGGCACTTCCAGAGAAATTAGTATGTCATTTTACATTAAAAATATCTACTGTTAAAATACCTACGTTTGGCCAATGTCGACAGCGATGAGGCGTAAGTTTACGCAAATAGGTTGACCTCAGTACCGTTACAAAAGAGTTTTGTGTAGGTAGATTATTTTATCATTGCAGGAGGAATGAATTATCTACCATAACAATACAACTCTTCATCTTTTTGAACCGTATATCCTCTGCCTAAAGTTCAAAATCTGGCGATAGCATCTCAGCCTTAACCACATAAAGAGGTCACGACGAAAACGACGTTTTCTAGCACTAAGATGTATATTTCCTTGGCCTGACATCCGCTTTACAATGAAGAGAAAGCATTATTTAGTTTTAAACTCCTCATATTTGCTTCTGGTTAATTTAATTGCAGATTAGTTAATTTTAAAGCTGTTTTGGATGACATAATCTGATCAGCCATTATATCGTACCGTAGCTATACGACTACATCACTACATAGTATAAAACAAAGTCGCTTTTCGCTGTCTGTCTGTACCTATGTCGCCAGTGACAACCACCTAGAAAGAAACCACGGGGTTATCGCGCGTCACCAGGACTTAGTCTTACTTAGCAAAATGTGCTCTTAAGTTAACTGCTGTAAAGATCCTTACCTTCAAAGATGTTCTGGATGATGAGGTAACTCTGTGTGACCACGATGAGTAGTGCTACATGCGTCCAAGCGAACAGACTGAACTGCCGCATATAGTAGCGCTTCACTAGCGATAGCACGAACCAGACGAACCCGCAGCAGTAGAGACTGAACGAAATGAAGCGGTGGTACGTCACTAGGAACTTGAGGTAGTCCTGTGGACAAGATTTTTGGCTGGTTTTAAGATGTCTTTTAAGTAGGAAATACCTATAGTCTGGTCCGTGAGCACGTAGAATTTTGTCCAATGACCCCTAGCTACCCATCCTTATCGCTCGCGCGTAATGATGTTGTTATCGCGCTCGCACACTCACTGCGGGTGCCAGTCGCACAGTCGCGACAGCAATATAATTACGCGCGAGCGATAAGGATGGGTAGCTAGGGGTCATTGGACAAAATTCTACGTGCTCACGGACCGGGCTTTAGCAATAAATATGACGGAAAACGCAGCGTGGACGTCCACCCACAAGGTGGACGGACGACATCGTAAAGGTAGCAGGAAGGCACTGGATGCAGGCCGCTACCAACCGGGCAACATGGAAAGCATTGGGGGAGATCTATGTTCAGCAGTGGACGTCCTATGGCTGGGATGATGATGATCAAAAATTATAGCAGGCTATGGAGAGGGCTATGCTCGGTATTTATATTTCTTTACGAGATCGAATCATAAATGAGATCCATAAACGAACTAAAGTCGCTGACATAGCCCGACGGATTAGCGTACATCGACATTATAATGAAATACGGGCTATCGTTTTTATACTTAACAGTTGGCACCCCTGGCGATTGACAGGACCTTACTCTACAGTGGCGCCATCTTGATGAGTGCAAATGCGATAGTCCTCCTACCACTTTAGCGCTCACCAGTTGGTGCCACTGTCTTCGCTACTAGCAAGTGCAGGACCTTACTCTACAGTGGCGCTAACTGGTGAGCGCTAAAACGATAGCCCTCATTGAGAAAAAAGGGAACTCCTTTCCTTTTTTTCTACAAGTTTTGACGCAGCCGCTATTTCTATTCGTGATAAAACTTTACGCAAGGTGCCTACAATACATCATTGCAAATATACCTACTTTAAGTCTTAGCATAATGGTATACGATCGCAAGTTTAGTATCAGAAAACGATTAATCCAAGTACCTAATGTGTTCAATAACCAATCTCGTAAATGGGCAGCCGATACAAAGTGGAGTAAACATATTTACTTCGGCATACCTTTGGGAAATAACAAAATGGTTAATAACTTAATTGTTTTTATAACTTTGTTTTATTGGATTACTTTAAATAAACTATTTGCGACTTAGATATTCTTGTACCTAATTGATCTTGAAACATTTTTTTTAAAGAATCGGACGACGCGATTAGTCAAAATATTTAATTTGAACTCTAATAAATGGCTGGCTGTTAGTTAATTAATATAATCAATTGATTACTGAGTTACCTACTGAGTATGTATTAAGATTGGAAAGCTAAGTATTCTTTTATTTTATTAATCATATTGATATAAATGATACAAACAAGAAAGTAAATCGATTATTTTTGGCAATCAATAGACATGTAACAAATTGAAATAGTGGTAGACACAAAATGTGGAATGCTTAATCAATTTCATTAATTAACTGGCAAATTAAAGTGGCCTCGATTTAACTAGGTACATGTTACTAATTAAGCAGGTTTATCAGCCATTTTAATTCTGTACTATGTTATGTTTAGGAAACAATTGACCTGATAAGAATAAAAGCATAAATAGCTAAGTTACTTCTTCTTCTTGTCGTGTCGACAATAAACCTACACAGTGTCAGCCCAAAACTCCAACACAAGAGTGGCGTTGTCAGTAGCCTTCATTAAATCTTCCTGTGTTACAATAACCTTCTTTTTGCCATTTTAAAAAAACCTTGTTAGGATAAAAGAGTTTAGTTTGGGACTAGAAGCGTAGTGTAAAATGTCCAAAGATATTTATTTTTATTTAAGATATTTTAATCATGTTTACCACTATAACAGGGTAGTAAATGGGTACAAATGACCTTTAAATATGGTAGTTTGGCTCATCACCATAAAGAACGATATTATATTATTTCTTTCAATAATATATAATTTACGATGATTGTCGTTAGATAGTCAAATGTGGCGTGATATCGTATGATGTATGAGTAATGTGTCAAAGAAAATATTCAAAGATAGGAAGTTAATCATTGTTAGGTATGACTTCATTCATTTTTAATAATTCCCGCAAAGTATCGACTATCAGCATGACACAACTGACTGACAAACTACGCGACAGACGTTTAATATCCGTAGATATCGTCGAAGTGATAAATGTAACTTGGGTACTTAATCGGCAATGTTATTTAACATGATAAGATTATCAGCTTATCTTATCAACATATTTAAAGTTTGAGGTGTTTGAACTCTTATGAAATCGCAATATTTTTATTTTAAGTGTAACACTACAGTGTCCCCTGCAAAAAACCAGACACTGCGCTTTAAAATATTTGAGAAAACTTGACAAAAAAGTTGATACAAGTACGTAGTACTTATTATTATTCTGTGATACAAGTCTATACTAAGGTAATTTATTTACTCAAAGGTGAGCAATTTAAACTCTTATCATAAATAAATGTTATTTATAATATCCGATTGTTTTTCTTTAGGTTTTCACATATTTGCTGATAAGCAACTGAGATTTCTGCGATAGCCTATATTACAGGTAATCAGAAATAAGCTTGTTAATTTGAATAATTTCTTTGGTGAATAATAATGATATGTAAATTCTTTAAAATTAATGATTAATTATTTTCAGACACTCACCGTTCTGTTAATCACAACACCGAAGTAGTCGATTAAATTCTCCCCATAGAAGAAGTAGTTGGAAGTCAGTAGGAAGTACCATGAGAGGGAACGGAACCATGGCAAGCCGTGGACTCTGTACACAGCATAGCCTATGTTGATGATCTCCTCAAAGCATTTTACTTGTACACATAGTACCTGGAAATAATTATATATTTTAGATGTAAAATACTAAACAATCAACACAACTAAAGACATAACCAGCGGTAACTAAGTGTCTCTATGACATAAAATCTTTATGATTTATCATTGTCATTATTAATTTAAATATCTGTGGTATATTTACCGTAATCATAAGAGCCAAAGGACCGCCATAGATCAGCAGACAAAATGCGCCGATCATTAACCAGGTGAAGATGCCTCGAATGACCCAGTTTCTCCATCTATTTGAAATAAATATAATATTTTAACATACAGTACAAATATAAATTTTCCATATTACAATTTATTAATAACTTTATTAACGACTTCGTACGCGTGGAATCGTTCTTAGTGAGCACCTACATTCTAAAAGGAACCACCATGCAAAATTTGAGAATCCTAGCACTTGTACTTTCTGAGATTTCGTGATGAGTGCGTCAGTCAATCAGTGATAGATGTACAAGATTGGGTTTAAAACAACACCAGCTTCAAAACTCAAGTCTGCCATTGATTTTATTTTATTAATTGGACAAATCACAGGCTTGGATCTAATCTTTAGTGTAGATTAGTAACAACGAACTACATCTATACTAATATTATAAAGCTGAAGAGTTTGTTTGTTTGTTTGTTTGTTTGTTTGTTTGTTTGTTTGGTTGAACGCGCTAATCTCAGGAACTACTGGACCGATTTGAAAAATTCTTTTTGTGTTGGATAGCCCGTTAGTTCCTGAAGGCTTTAGGCTATTTATCATCACGCTAAGACCAATAGGAGCGGAGCACCAATCAAGAATATTTCAAATCAGTGATTTTTTTCCTTTTGAGAGCTGACGCTGCGTAAACGGTTAAAGTTTCGCAAAAATCATGTATGACAGGATTGTTCCCCTTTAAAAGTTCTTTAAAAAAGTCCGCGGTAGCATATGTCTATCTTTTAAGGTTGGCTCATAGTAACCATTTTTATGCAAAAAAAATCTGTTTTAAAATAATGCATTATTTGCGAAGGTGTTTTTATAAACATGATATTAATCCTTATCCAAATAAATAAATTATTCACCACATGTATTTAATTTTAAACATTCTTGCCCTTTACACCATTCGATTTCAATAAATATCTTAGGAGATATCGCAGTTTTGAAATCTGATCTGATCGTAAAGACCTGAAACTTGGACGGTGTGTTCTTTGTATGACGTAAGCATCTGATAAGAAAGGATTTTCCAAAATTCTACCCCTAAGGAGGTAAAAAGGAGGGGCATAGTTTGTATGAAATAACGAGATTCCTTCGTCCAATCTACTTAAAATTTTGCATAAGCATTCTATAACAGAATTAATNTTCGTATTAGTTATGGCACTAACGCTTTTGCTAATAGTATCATTTATTTTGTAATTTTACTATACATAGAAGAGCGGAGCTTCCTAACACAAGCAAAACTGGTTGCTTAATGGGAAGCCCCAAATACTTGTAATGAAAAATGTGTAAAAGTTACCGAAATAAACTTTATTATTATTATTATTATTTGTTTGTATATTTTATCTCAGCTTTAGTGCTGGTAAGATTAAAACCAGATACGGGCCAAGCCAAGTATCTGGTCTATAATATAAGTTTATAAAATTACTGGTACATTTGTAGGTTCATCCTGTAGAAACCGCCTAACGATGCGGCAGGTGTTCAGTATTGCCGCTTTCTGCATCGTGATATAGCTATTTTCGTGGAGATCTATAAGTTTCAGGCTATTGTGCAAATGGTTGGATATGACTCCAGTGCTGGAGAGCACCAGTGGCACAATGTACACTTTGTTTAACTTCCAAATTCTAAGTATCTCTTCTTTTAACTCTGAGTATTTGTGTATTTTTTCTGAAATAGTGTTTTTGATATTGTGGGTGTTAGGTACTGCTACATCTATTAGAAATGCAATCTTATTTACTTTATCTACCAGGGTGATATCGGGTCTATTGCAGTTATTATTATTATTATTATTATTATTATTATTATGTTTTCTTTATTTTTACTCGAAGTTCCTATGGTCTTCGGTTTTAACCATAACTCACGGGCTCATGCCAAGTGAGTTAAGTTTTCATTATTATTATTATGTTTGTACGCTTTGGAGCTCACGGGTCAAAAGTGGCCCGGTCCTTTATAAGGCTTGCGTGGGGATACAGATCCAACACGTAGAGGCCGTTTTAAGCGCAAAATAATCGACAAAAGTGAAAGTGGTGCACATGCTGGATCTAGTCTCTGACTATATCATGGGATGTAGCCAGAGACCATCCCCAGCCTGTGCACAGGAGCTATTGCAGTTATTGGAGAATGGACTAGGGTTATGGATGAAGGATGGATGGACTGGTTACTGGGCTATGGATGGAGACTACGGGACACCTGCCTGGTTCATAGTCATAGCTGGGCATTAACTCGTTAATCCGTTAATCGTTAATTAACGAAGTTAACATTTCTATTAACGGATTAACTTTTAAGTTAACTTTAAAAAATGTTAACGGACTCGTTAACTTCCGTTAAATTATCCTAAGTCCGTTAATCGTTAATCCAGTACCTACTATTTACCAAAAAGATACAGCAGGCACCCTAAAAAACGCTAGAAAAACGCGTTCTGACAAGTACGTTCGGGCTTCCAGAACTTCCAGAACCCAAAATAACAGTTTTTGTAACCAGGATCACTAAGTTCACTAACGACACTTGTTAGTATGTGTGGGACAACTCTTGCAACTGAATTTAAGACCAGTTTTCCTCAACCGATTGAGCTGAAATTTGGTATACTTATGTAAGTACGATGACAATGCAATGTTATGGTATCATTGAGCTGGTCTGATGATAGAGTCATGAGGTGGCCAAAGGAACTCCTAAATAAAACGGCGGCATCGCATCGAATTTGGGTTCGTTGGTTTTGTATTTTCGAGCACTTTAGTCTCCATAGGTTCTCCACTGTCTTCTCCATAGGTTGTCTGGCAGAGATCGCTTCATAGCGATTAGACCGCCTCATTGTACCATAAGTGTTCCTTTTCTTTCTGTTTTTTATCTGGTGTGCAATAATCAGTATTTATTATTATTATTATTTTATGTGATATATTATATCACAGCATTAATGCTGGTAAAAGTTAGACCAGATACGGGCCAAGCCAAGTATCTGATCCATAGATTTATCAAATATTTGCCGTGAAGCTGCTTCCATTAATAGTTGGTTCATCCTGTAGGAACCGCCTAACGATACGGCAGGTGTTCAGTATTGCCGCTTTCTGCATCGTGATATAACAATTTTCGTGGAGATCTACAACTTTAAGGCTATTAAGCAGATGATTAGGTATTACTCCAGTGCTGGAGAGCACCAATGGCACAATGTAAACTTTGTTAAGCTTCCAAATTCTGAGTATCTCTTCTTTTAATTCTGAGTATATGTATTTTTTCCGAAATAGTATTTTTGATGTTGTGGGTGTTAGGTACTGCTACATCTATTAGATATGCAATCTTATTAACTTTGTCTACCAAGGTGATGTCGGGTCTATTGCAATGAATGGTGCGGTCTGTCAAGATGGCTCGGTCAAAGTACATTCTGTAACTGGGACTCTCCAGCAGTCTTCGGTTCATATTGATAATATGGTTTAGATTTTTCGGAAATTAGTTTGTGTTTAATAGCTAATTTCTGGTGAACATAGTGAGCGATTTGGTTATGCCGGTGCTGTGTGTAATCATTTTGGGTTAATAATGGGCATGCATTTATAATGTGTTGAATGGTTTCCGGGTATCTATGGCATTTTCGGCAGCGATCATCCTGTGCGTTGGGGTCTTTTATTATGTGCTTCCTGTAATTTTTGGTATTTAATTTATAACCTGATCTTGAATGCTTATCAAAAAGCCTTCAGTCTCAGGGAACAAATAACCAATTTTAAGCCATTTGTTGTAAGCCTCAGTGTCTACATGAGGTTGCTCTAGGTCGTGTATGTGTCTGCCATGTAATTGTTTCTTTCGCCATGTCTCTATTTTTTCCTGCTCTGCCTGCTCTGCTGTCTGATAGATCTTATCTGTATCCAAGAGGTTAAGTGGGGTAAAGTTTTCGTCTAATTCTATAACTGCCTTGTGAATGGTACTATTCGATTTTGTATAATTATTATTATTATTTAGTACTGGATGATGTCCAGGGTCCTGATGATGGAGTCAGGAGGTGGCCATAGGAATTCCTAAACGAAACGGTGGAAACTTATCGAGTTTGGGTTTGCTGGATTTGTCTTTTCGAGCACTTTGGTGCAAAATTGTATTGATTTGTAATTGAAACAAGGCTCTGAGATTGAGATACTACTAAAAAGTATAAAATAAAATTATAATAATTAAAAAACTTTTTTAAAAACAAGCTTTTATTCTGAAATGCAGTTGTACTAAAACGAAAAAAATAATTGTACTTATGCAAGGTTCAAATAATTTCGAAAGCTTGTAGCGCAAACATAAAAGTGGAATAAATTCCATGCGCGATACAAGCTTCCGAAATTATTTGAACCTTGCATACAATTATTTTTTTCGTTTTATTATCATTATTTATCATGTGTTAACGGATTAACGATTAACGTTAACTTGCGTTAAATCTTGCGAAATGTAACGTTTTAACGTTTAACGAAGTTAACTTTTTTATTAACGGTTTAACGATTAACGAAGTTAACTATTTGATTAACGGTGCCCAGCTATGGTAGTCATTGCTGTTATATTTAAGTCTTCTTGTATATTGTAGTCTCCCGCTATTATTTTACCTTTTTGAATGTGTAACGTTTTGCATTTTTCTACTCCAAAAGTCATATGTATATCATCACTAAAATTAGCTGTCAAATCTACTAAGTGTCTCATGTCTTCATTTGAATTTGAAAATAGCTTGATATCATCGACGTACATTAAGTGTGTTATTTTTGTTTCTTTAGTTAGGTTATAGCCGCACTTAGAGTTATTTAATAATGTAGATAGTGGGTTTAGCGCCAAACAAAACCACAAAGGACTCAATGAATCTCCCTGGAAAATGCCATTACTAATTTGTATTTCACCAGTACTGATTTTAGTATTTTTAGTAGATAAAGATAAAACGGTTTTCCATTTAGTCATGGCATCTTCCAGAAACGTTATTATTGTGGGATTAATTTTGTAAATTTGGAGCACTCGAATCAGCCAAGAATGAGGGACACTGTCAAAAGCTTTTTTATAATCTATATATGTTACGTGTAAATCTTTATTGTATTTATGTGCATGTTTAAGTATTGCTTGGTCTATTGTTAATTGTTCTTTACAACCTTTGTGGTTTTGACGGCAGCCTTTCTGTTCTTCAGCTAGAATGTTGTGTTATTATTATTCCACGCGGACGAAGTCGCGGGCACAGCTAGTAATAAATAATAATAAAAAAAACTACATATTCAATAATTATTAATAGGTACACCAATCTCCAAATATTTGCTAGTCCAGAGAAATAAACAGACTGGTTGTTAAAAATAATCTTACAATTCATGCACTAAATTAGAAGTATTTTTAGACACAAAAATAAAAAAAATCCAACAGTGCAATCACTAACATTCGAAACTGTGGTCATTTTAACAAACTTCATTTGATATTCCATTATGTAAATAAGATTAAGTTCAGTAGCCTTGAGTTAGAACTTGTTTAGGAAATATTACGGAACTGTGCGATACCAACCTATATTGAGTTTTTTAATATTTTTTATCATAAAACTGTTTAAAAATTAATGAATGTAAAAATAATAATTTTGTTAAACAACAGTGACGTTTGAACTCAGACCAAGGCTTTGAAAGTCCAAGAATAATACTGAATATTTGAAAGCAAATCGTACAATGGAAACCATACACACCTAGAAGAAAGACCAGACAAGGCAGAGTCGAGAATTTCAGGCGTCTTGTCCGTGCCCTGAGGCAAAGACTTCGCCATTTCATCCACATACTTCTCTTCTAACACCTTCTCTTCCTCCGAATCAACCTAAAAATACATAACAATAAACACAACGCCAATATTAATCACGAACGGAATATTGTTGTACAAAAAAAAATACATGGTCAGATTCTCCAGCAGTTTCCACTTTATCGTTGCCGTCGCCTTCCCCACGTCGGTGCCTAATTTCACTCATTTTTAATCACAATCACAACACAAATGCCACAACAATATTATTCCGCAAAATTCGTATATTTAATCCATTTACGATTAGAAAAATACAACGACAAGACGAGTCGATGTTTTCCGACTTGTCATGTCAAACGAAAAATCAATAACTTGTTTTTTTTTTAATGTTGCAAACAAAACTAGGAAACTACTATTAATTTACCAAAATGTTAACGTTATGGAGCGTCAAATATTAAACTGTTTAAAAAATACCTATCGATAAGAAAGATACGTTTTTCTGATGAAAATTGAAAATGTCATTAAACTAACTGGCTGGAAAAAATATTATATTCCTTTTTCGTTGAAGTTCTATGGAATGAGACAGAAAGTGGTCGATTTCGACTATAGTAAAAACCGGCCAAGTGCGTGTCGGACTCACGCACAAAGGGTTCCGTACCCTTAATTAATGTTTTTTTTTTTATTTGAGTTATTTGTATGAAAGATTACGCGGTAATAAGCGGTTTACGATTGACGATGTATTAAAAAAAATACTTACTAGACCTCGTTCAAAACAATTTCCGTTGATAGTTTTTATAGTAATTATTGTACATCATAATGTTTTTTTTAGATTTTTCATTTTCTTATTTTAGAAGTTAGACCAACTTTTTTCCACTTTGGAAGCGTCTGTCACGTAAACTATTCGGTTGAGAAAAAAAATATTTTAGAAACCTCGATATAATTTTTGAAGACCTATCCATCCATAGATACCCCACACGTATGACGTGTTTGATGAAAAATTAATTTTTGAGTTTCAGTTCTAAGTCGGAGCCCCCAATATTTATTATTATTTTTTTATTTTTGCATCAAAACTTAATGCGGTTCACAGAATACATCTACCTAGCTAGGGCATGCAAACCGGTTAACCGGATAACCGAAAAAACCGGATAACCGACACAATTTGGAACTCGGTTTTTGTCAGTTATAAATCCGGGTTTTTCGGTTTTTTCGGTTTTTCTTCTACGATTTTAGATAATTTAATAACTCATACAAGAACACGCTTCTTTAGTCATATCAATAAAAACAATTATTGTAATGCAATGTGGAAGCGGTACCAAGGCTCCAAAGTGTTCGCAAGAGACAACTCTATTGGGCAAAGCCAGCTGTTAAGCTAACGACGGCGGACGGTAGTGTAACGTCAACAAAAGCCGAGGTTCTGGGTGAGATCGAGAGGTTTTATGGACAGCTATATACCTCGGTCACCAAACCCGTTGATAGCTCAACTTCAGATCCAAGAGCTAAGCTAACTCGACACTATACCGAAGATATCCCGGACATCAGCCTATACGAGATTAGGATGGCTCTCAAACAGCTAAAGAACAACAAGGCACCGGGTGATGACGGAATAACATCGGAGCTTCTGAATGCGGGTGGAACACCGATACTGAAAGTCCAATTATTATTATTATTTATATGTAAATATATTTTATCTCAGCATTAATGCTGGTAAAAGTTAGACCAGATACGGGCCAAGCCAAGTATCTGATCCATAGATTTATGAAATACCTGTTACATTAATAGTTGGTTCATCCTGTAGGAACCGCCTAACAATACGGCAGGTGTTCAGTATTGCCGCTTTCTGCATCGTGATATAACAATTTTCGTGGAGATCTATAACTTTAAGGCTATTGAGCAGATGATTGGGTATGACTCCAGTGCTGGAGAGCACCAGTGGCACAATGTATACTTTGTTTAGCTTCCAAATTCTGAGTATCTCTTCTTTTAATTCTGAATATTTATGTATTTTTTCTGAAATAGTATTTTTGATGTTGTGGGTGTTAGGTACAGCTATATCTATTAGAAATGCAATCTTATTAACTTTGTCTACCAAGGTGATGTCGGGTCTATTGCAATGAATGGTGCGGTCTGTCAAGATGGCTCGGTCAAAGTACATTCTGAAACTGGGACTCTCCAGCACAGTCTTCGGTTCATATTGGTAATATGGTATAGATTTTTCGGAAATTAGTTTATGTTTAATAGCTAATTTCTGGTGAACATAGTGAGCGATTTGATTATGCCGGTGCGTGTAATCATTTTGGGTTAATAATGGGCATGCATTTATGATGTGTTGGATGGTTTCCGGGTATCTATGGCATTTTCGGCAGCGATCATCCTGTGCATTGGGGTCTTTTATTATGTGCTTCCTGTAATTTTTGGTATTTATAACCTGATCTTGAATGCTTATCAAAAAGCCTTCAGTCTCAGGGAACAAATAACCAATTTTAAGCCATTTGTTGCTAGCCTCAGTGTCTACATGGGGTTGCTCTAGGTCGTGTATGTGTCTGCCATGTAATTGTTTCCTTCGCCATGTCTCTATTTTTTCCTGCTCTGCCTGCTGTGCTGTCTGATAGATCTTATCTGTATTCAAAAGGTTAAGTGGGGTAAAGTTTTCATCTGATTCTATAACTGCCTTGTGAATGATACTATTCGATTTCGTATAAAAGAAATCTCTAAGACTATTTATTTGGCTTTGCCATAGTATTTTTAGGTCTACTAACCCTCTTCCACCTTTGTATCTTTTAATTGACATTCGTTCTATTGCTGATTTTGGGTGCAAATACTTATTTTTAGTTAATGTTGTTCTGGTTTTGATTTGTAGGTTTGTTATATCTGTAGCTGTCCATTTGATAACTCCGAATGAGTAAGTTAAGATCGGTATCGCGTATGTGTTTAGTGCTTTGAACAGATTTTTGGAATTAAGTTGCTTCCTACATATTAGCTCAACTCGACGTATGTATTCACCAGTAAGATCTTTTTTTATTTGTGTATGGTTGATATATTTATTTTGTTGAATCCCTAAGTATTTATATGTATCCTCTGTAGTCATTGCTGTTATATTTAAGTCTTCTTGTATATTGTAGTCTCCCGCTATTATTTTACCTTTTTGAATGTGTAACGTTTTGCATTTTTCTACTCCAAAAGTCATATGTATATCATCACTAAAATTAGCTGTCAAATCTACTAAGTGTCTCATGTCTTCATTTGAATTTGAAAATAGCTTGATATCATCGACGTACATTAAGTGTGTTATTTTTGTTTCTTTAGTTAGGTTATAGCCGCACTTAGAGTTATTTAATAATGTAGATAGTGGGTTTAGCGCCAAACAAAACCACAAAGGACTCAATGAATCTCCCTGGAAAATGCCATTACTAATTTGTATTTCACCAGTACTGATTTTAGTATTTTTAGTAGATAAAGATAAAACGGTTTTCCATTTAGTCATGGCATCTTCCAGAAACGTTATTATTGTGGGATTAATTTTGTAAATTTGGAGCACTCGAATCAGCCAAGAATGAGGGACACTGTCAAAAGCTTTTTTATAATCTATATATGTTACGTGTAAATCTTTATTGTATTTATGTGCATGTTTAAGTATTGCTTGGTCTATTGTTAATTGTTCTTTACAACCTTTGTGGTTTTGACGGCAGCCTTTCTGTTCTTCAGCTAGAATGTTGTGTTNCATGCCCTACTACCTACCAAGTTTCAACAGTATAGCTCTTATAGTTTCGGAAAAAATGGCTGTGACATAGGGACGGACAGACGGACAGACAGACATGACATGACGAATCTATAAGGGTTCCAATTTCTGCCATTTGGCTACGGAACCTTTTTAGGGTTCCGTAGCCAAATGGCAATGGTTTGGCAAATAAAAGTGACTTTTTTTAAATAACTAAAGATTCAAATAAAATATGGAAATTGTACACGTTTAGTTTAATTTTATTAACCTTTCTCTTGTCGTCTGATCCAAAAAAAGTAACTTTCACTTTTTTTTTTAATTTTTCGGAACTTTCTATCTTCTGAAAGAGCAAATTTGGGCGCGCGCTAATAAAGTTTAGTACGAGTCACTAACTAAGCCATTAGTACACGGTTATTGGCCGTTGGGGCAGAAAAGTTCTCGAGTGGCGACCACGCGCTGGAAAACGTAGCGTGGGCAGGCTCCCTACTAAGTGGACAGACGATCTGGTGAAGGTCGTTCATTGTGGAAAACCTTGGAGGATGCCTTTGTCCAGCAGTAGACGTCATTTGGCTGGAACGAACGAACACGGCTTAAATAGTTCGAAAGCAAAATCTGTCAGGCAGGACTCAAGACTTATTCAAAATGGACCAAATGAAAAGATAAAATATTTTTTTTTAGCCAAACTATCAGTTTTTAAAAAAAACTGTCATTCATCAAAAATTCAGACCAACGCGCAACGCGAACGTATTCTATTTAACTGTAGGTATTTTTTAAACAAATAAATGTTTGTGAAAACACGCTTTGTGAAAAACCCTATTTACTATCCATCGTGTCCCGCGTTGAAAGTAATGGTTGAAACATTTTTGTTTGATTTGAATAATTTTTTTTTTAGTAGATTTTAGTAGATAAGACTATGGCAGCATTATACACTTCGGCTGTCAGATTGGAAGTGTCAGGCAAAAAACGTAAACATGGCGAGTGATTCAGATGATTTTGACCAAAATATAGAAAATGTAAGTAAATTTATAATGAAAACCTTCGTTATTCTTGTTTATATCGATATTTATATGGTCCTTGTTTTATTTACAGCTCAAAGGAACTGTAAGGCAGTCTTTTGCCCGCATATACGCCAGCCTAAAAGCGAGGGAACTAAAAACTTTAAGACAACTGGATGCTTTACGTAAACAATGCCAAGACGACAAAGACTTCATAAGGAATTGTGTTCAGAACATACAAATTCGATACGATAACGAGTCCGCACTATTAGATAATGTAAGTAATTACGGTGTAATCGATTTCGAGAAGTTGAATTTTGATAGTAGCACTTTTTTACTAGAAGATTACGTGAGCCCCAATGATGATCACATGTACTCGTATAAGACCATAGAAGAGGTGACGAAGGATGACGATAATATGGAACTAGAAGCCATTGAAGAGGCTGCTTTAAAAGAGGTTACTAGGACCGATCACTGTGTTTGTTTTGTCAATATAAGGAGTGAGGATGTTGCAAAGAAGTTTCGGGATCTAGATGCGAGCGTATCTCCAATAAAAAACTGTGATGTTAGTTTAAATTCCTCTGAAAGTATCGAAGTGGAAGTCGTTGATGTACCCGAGGAGGAGAAAAGTGAAAGTTCTGATAGTGACGTGAAGAAAATACAACCCACGGATGACTGGTTGAATTCAATAAAAAGCCAAACGGAAACCGAGCCAGTGCTAGCGGACGTAATGGAACACAGCACTATAACCTGTTCTTAGCATCTACAGTCGGCATTAGAGTAGGCCCTGTTTGAGTCTGTTACTTAATTAGATTTAATAAATTTTTATATTTTACATAAATTGGCATGTTCATATTAATTCGATGTTGGTGCTGTCGTAACATACTACCTCTAGTTAGCCTAATAATATCCCAGTAGTTTTTCATTGTTTTTATGATTCTTACTCGGTTGTTCTGTAAGCATTTGTAGTTTTATTATGTCTTTGGAATACCTACGTTTTTAAGTCTGAGCTATTAGTATTTACTTAATAATATCTGGGCACTTATTTTATCTATAAACTATATGTAAGTATTTTTATGATTTATGCTAGCAAGTAGTAAATTTTTTATTAAATTGAGTAGCACTATTTTATGGAAATGAATAATTTAAGTATGATATAAAATTCTAAATAAATATTATATGGCTTTTATCATATCATGTGCATTTTATATTTTACCATGTTACCCCTTTACTAATAAAAGTTGCATGTTACACTAATGGGTTAACTCATTATGTACTTACCAGTGTGGTGTGGCTGTGGTAACCATAAATGGTCACACCACACTATAGTTAAACTAGTGTTCAACACTCATGTAACTTATATTAGTCTGTGGGATCTGATCATATTACATTACAATTTATTATACAGACACCAAACTGATTATTGTTATCATTATCATTATTCAATATCAATCAATCAACAGAATTTTTGATAGCTGCCAATATTCTGTTTAAATCTTGATTAGGCCTGCTTTCCCTTTGAAACAGATTTTTAAAAGTAAAAGGGTACCCAAAGATACTGTTTACTTACATGCCTGTTTATGCTTTATTATCCATTTCTTCTTAATTTTATTCTTTACTAAATCATCTTGATTAAATTAGGCTATTTTGTCAGACTACCAGAGCAGTAATACCTAATCTACTTTATGCCATGTTTTAGGCAATGACATAATCAAGCTTAAAATTGTTGCATCTTGTAGTAAAATGTACATTACATACAAAAATTACAATGCCACACATTGTTACATGTTTTTGCTATCGTAACAATGTAATGCTCGGCGCGCGTACAGTCAAGTCTAATTGCTTTGCGAAATCATTACAGTTACGTGAAAATCTACATTTTCATTCACTGAATATACGCCAAGTGTTACGCCTACTGTTATGTTAGTGCTTTAAAACCCATTTGTACAGAAAACTGATTGTACAAACAATTTTACCTACCACCAAGAGATGGCGCTCTATGTACATTGACTCGCGGTGGCAAGTTGTACTATGAGACTATGGAATGTGGAATGCGATCTTTACGCGCGCTCGTAGTTTAAAACGATTCTGAAATTTCTTTTACTGGAAGCTTGGGGTAAATAAAACAAAAATCTTAAAGCATCAACTTATAATGTTAATACATTTTTACATGAATGGCGTTACTAAACCCTTAAACTAATATGCATTGATGACTTCCGATTACATTCCCTAATGAATAAATATTACCCTTTTCTGTACTTGAGTACAGGAACTAACGGATTCCAATTTTTAAATATCAATTCCCATTGACAGGAGATTATTCCATCAGAGACAGGCATGGCTTATTAACATAAAATTTTAATTCTGTATTTGTTTTATTGTTGCTTAAATGTAGATACCTTCATTTAGAACTTTACGTCGAAGACATACAATTCAAAATCTACTGTTTTTAATCCGTGTGGGCAGAGTACCGCGTGTAGAGTAGAGAATCGTACCTACATCGTATATAGGTAAATATTTTTGTTGGGAGATACATATGTATAAACAAAACAGGTCATTTCAAGATGGTTCTTCATTGAAAAATGTGATGTAAACTGAAAGTGAAACAATAATTAGGCTGTATTTTCTAGAAGTTAATTAATTAATGATTCTGATTCTACTGGAATAACCTCCTAGTCGTCCACATCAAGCGTAATACTATGGTTTTATTTATGGCACTTAAACATGACATACATTTTACAAAGACATTCCTATAAATTCCCATTTTTGGATGGACTCTGTTTGTATGGAGTTAGGTATTCTAGTTTGTACTCAACTTTTTCACTGGAAATGTGATGGCACGAATAGGAGTGCTGATGAGTGTAAAACGTTGATTTAGTATTAACTACATTAGTAGAGGTTGCACTAGACGACTATTCTCCTTTGCATTAAAAAAGTTTTATTGCGTTACTTCCAAAAACAGATATTCATTAGCACAATAAGGTAATATGAAAAAAGATAAGACTCCTTAAAAAAAATGTGAGCACGTTCTTCCGTCTTACAGAGTGAGATAGCATGCATTTAAGCCACGCCTACTACACTAACTAACTAGTTCAAAACGTCGAATAGCGCAACCTTGCAGGGTGTGGTACCTATACCTAAAGCTAGTGAAGGGGAAGGTTACAGAATATTACTACAAAATTGAAAAAAACATCTTAATTTTATGAGGCACTAAATTTCATTTTGTCTTAGGCCACATGTTCACAGGTGGTAGTTACGAACCTTATTGTCGTTACATTCAAAGTGTTGTACAAACTTAGAATTTCTGTACTTGATAAATACGTCGTATACGAATATGCACGGATATATAATTTCTACTTCGATAATTTGATGATAAGTTAGTAAAGACAAACAAAATGTAATTAGAAGGATACAATAGTATTAAGATAAATTCAATAAGTTGGGAGTACAAAATCTTAAACGAGTACAAGGTTTCAACTAAATATGTAGTTTGTATCTAAAGGTTGTTAACGTGTAGTTAAGAATAAGTTATACAGCTATCTTAAATTGTACATGTTAATACTACTATTGTACATTTTAACAGAAAAAAATAACGTTTAAGTACTATACAAGGCCGAAGTCCGTGCACACGGCTGCCACGTCTCGATTGTTCTGCTTCTCGGAGTTTGCAGCCATGTTCAGCTCCACAAGCGTGTCCACACTATTTATACTGACCCCTTTCAATATCTTCTGAGCAGCTAAACTAGTGAAATTAAAGCTCAAATCGCTTAAGCTCGGAAAATTGTAAAAATCCTGGTTCTCCTTCTTGCTATCTTGGCTCAAGCTGTACCTTTTTTGCTTGTTTTCTAAACAGTTTATCTTCTCAGCTGACGTGTTTATGTCCTTTATCTGCTCTTGATTCTTCAGCGCCAAATTCGGCTCCGATCCCAGCACAACTGGTTTCTGGTCGATCGCTTTCGTCAACAAGTTGGCGATTGAATCTGAACTCATTCGATTATTTACATTTGGAAGCCCGTTCAGCATTTGCAGCGCTGCTGCCTTCTTCAACAAATCGACGCTTTTCAATTCGCTGTTGGAATTGATGTTCGGCTGCATCCCGCTGTTGGCGGATGAAAAGGAATTCTTCTGGTATCTTAGACTACCCAATGACCCAATCACGTTGTCGTAACTTTTAGTTGGTGTTGAAGGGTTGCTATTTGTAGTCGTTTCCAGGATGTGGATATTGTTATGTATGGCCGGCGAGGCGGGATTAGAGGCAACTTCGTTAGTGTTATTCAACTGGTTTTTGTATATGAAACTGTTGTTATTTGTCGCCCCGCCTATTTGTAAAGAAAGTTTACGATTGTTATTCATACCCGTATCGTTTATAGAATTCTTGTTGAACTTATTCTCTTGTACTTTGATTGGTTCCTGTTCTTGGTAAACCTGCTTATTTTTCTCCACGCAGACGTCGAATGATGTCTCAGTTGGGTTTTTTGACGACTGATTCGTGCCTCCATTTTGGGATACCGATACCACTTGTCTGTCATCGTTAATTATGTAAATATTGCTTCCATTGCTCGTCTCAGTGACTTTACCATTTTCGAAAGTAATTACTGACCTTACAGGCGAATTTTGTACATAAACTTTGGTGTTTGTGCCACCACCGTTTTGTGTAATCGTATTCGTGGTAACTTTTAGCGTAATCGAGTTGTTAGAATTAGAACTGGCCAACATAGTCGTCGATGGGTTTTCTACTTTTGATCCTAAAGTTTTATGCAGCGGGGTTGCGGTTTTTTTGGGGGTGTTTGGGCAGTTTTTTGGCGAGCTTCTAGGTGATGTGCTTTTCCCGTTTTTTACTGTTTCTCCGCCGACAATGGGTGGTTTCGTTCGGTACTTGTGAAGACTTTTCGGAGAGCTTTGCAAACTCTGCACTTTGACCAAAGACTGCGCCCGACTCAACCCGGGCGTGCTGTGTGAATTTGTGTGACTAGGCGAAGGTTTCAAAGTGCGGTCTGATATGTGGGACTCTAGACTGGAATGACCGCTGCTCCCGCTCGTGTGGTAGCTTCTTTTCATGGGCGAGTTTTGGTCCGAATGCCCGTTTTTTACATCCTTCCTGGGTGTTCTGTGTGTGCTCGTGCTCTCAAGACTTGAAGGGCCGCTAGTTGACATGATATGGTCTGAATTAGAACAGTCGACTCTTCTTAGACTGCCACTGGGGCTGTCTCTTAGCTTGGGATCGCTGTTTCTTTGCGGGGATCCGAAGTGATCCAGAATAGTTTTGTTGGTGGAGCTCCTGCTTAGTGTAGATCTGGGTAGGCTCCCAGAGCTGGGGCTAGAGTGCCTGACAGGCGAGTGGTCGTAGTGGACTGAGCCAGCTAGGCCCGATTCGGTGGATAGGTGCCTCTTGTGCCTTCGTGGCAGCGTCGACGACCGATTACTGATTTCTGATCCGTCATAATACGATGAAACGAAAGATGTTTGACTCTGCAATGATTCCTGAAACAGACGAAACAAAAACATTAGCCCATATTTATTAACCTAATATAAACGTGACTCCATTGTTTTTAATCCCAGCAGGGTATCGGACCCAAAAACCTAAATTAAGAAATTCGAACTACCTTACCACAAAACTAAGGAAGTATTAGTCCAATTAAAAAATCTGATAAGGGCAGTACGTAGTTTTAAATAGGCCTTTTAATAATAATAAATATAATAATAAATATTTTAGACATTTTACACTGCGCTTCTAGTCCCAAACTAAGCAAAGCTTGTACTATGGTTACTAGACAACGGATATAAACATACTTAAATACTTTTTTTTTTTGTAAATACATACTTATTATTACATAGAAAACACCCAGTCCAATACAAACAAATATGTTCATGCACACAAATGTTTGTACTGTGCGGGAATCGAACCCGCTACCTCCGGAATAGTAGCCCGTTTCGAACCACTACACCAAACGGCCGACTTTTCCCTACCATTAAGATGCCCATAGGCTACATAAGGCTTACCTTTGAGTTGGTCTGCGTAGCCACGCAATGTAGGTGCACCGCCTTCGAGTTGAACCACTCGGTGGGCGGGAACTGGGCAGAGAAGGTGCTCATCGCGCGCGTCTGCTTGCTGCGGCCGCTTCGTCTGAATAAGCGGGACAGCAGGGACACTTTCTCTGGAAGGATATACGGGAGAGAATTAAACAAACGTTGTTTTCAGCACTCGTTTGATGCTTGCTAGACAATATTTAGTTACCATTAGCGGGGTCAAAGGCAGATACCTAGCGAGTTTATAGACTAAAAAATATGACGGCATCCCAACTAATATTATAAATGCGAAAGTAACTCTGTCTGTCTGTCTGTCTGTCTGTCTGTCTGTTACGCTTTCCCGCTTAAACCTCGCAACCGATTTTGATGAAATTTGGCATAGAGATAGTTTGAGTCCCGGGAAAGAACATAGGATAGTTTTTATCCCGGTTTTTGAAACAGGGACGCGCGCGATAAAGTTTTTCTGTGACAGACAAAATTCCACGCGGGCGAAGCCGCGGGCGGAAAGCTAGTATTCTATAAATATGGATAGACGCAGATTGGCCAAGTTCTGTTATGCTTTTTTTATTTTGCGGAAGTGTGGGTTAAATGATATTAAGTTAATCCATTAAGCCCATTCTCTCCTCTCTGACATCAGATAATAACAACAATGTGATGAGCTTTTTGCGCTGCTTCATTCCAGCACTCGCCCATTTATTGGTTGGTAGGGTGAAAGTAATACTTACCACTTAGATAAGGGGAAGGGAAATCTTTGGGGGAGGGCTTTCCCCAACAGCGTTTTTAAAGCCTATTTGCAAAAAAGAAGTGCTTATTTCAAGATCAATACTCACTCGGTGATGCGGATTCGACGCTCGGCGGGTAATCAGTCGAGGAACTGCTGTCGGTTGTATTGGCGTTCTTGTGGTGGAGGCTCCTTGTTGAGGCACATCGCTGTAAGTACTTGCTGGAAGACCCGAAGATCCTTAGCGAGTGGCGGCGGTCGAGCGAGCGGGGGGCGGGGAAGGACGCGCTGCGACGCTTGTTCGGGCGCCCGTACAGAATCTTGTCGTTGGGATTGCCTGGAAAAAGAACGGTTATATTGAGTGTGGTGTAATTTTAGGTAATTTAGCCAGAGCTGCTAGGTCTTTTATAATGCGAGCAGCTGAGGACTGGAATTCGCTGCCTGCTGCTATCTTACCCAAACACTATAATCCAGGCCTTTTCAAGGCGAAAGTGAATAGGCAATTACAGGGCAGATATGTACCATCCTAGACTGCATCTCACTTAACACCAGGTGCGATTGCAGCCAAATACCTGCCTTGTTATGCATAAAAAATGAGATCTCTATCTACTTAATCTATTATAAGATTTAGGAGAGATTATTTCTGATGTCACGCGGTATAGTACCTACCTACCTACATACTTATCATCTTACAAGAACGCAACAACAACACGACAACTTCTCATACAATACAATTTTCTTGCAAAATGTTATAATGCCTATACCTAGTGCTCGGTTTTTGACCACCTGTATAAGCCTATCCACAGCAGGTGTAGGTACTTGCCCAAGTGTCACAAACGCAGTTCAAACTACCTATAATTACGCCTTAAACATCATCCACGGTATCATACCATTCCGTGATATTTCGAAAGCATCTAAATTAAACCATGACAACATCCAATCCCCGGTATCGTTCCTCGTTTATTCCACAACGTTGCGAACACCTGCTCCCATACATTAAGTTGCAATACTCATGCTGTGTCCGTCTCGGTTATCGTCCATTAAGACAAGGATTTAATGAACAAGGATTGGCGCGAACCGCGGACGCATTCTCCTGACGAATGTTTGCATAGCAATAATTCGCGGTCCCTCGACAGACGGAGTAACATTGATCTTGGTGCAGAACATTTGGCTCGGAGTTAATGGGCAATTGATATAACATTTTACTGCCTGCTATAGTCATTATGGTCGGATGAAAATGGAAATTGAAATGCGGATAGTCTTATTGCTTGGTGTAAACTGTAAATTCATGCTTTAGTTAGATGACTCCGGCCGCTACCAACCGTGCGATGTGGAAGTCATTGGGGGAGGCCTATGTTCAGCAGTGGACGTCCTGTGGCTGAAATGATGATGATAGATGACTCCCTGTACTTACTGAAGTCCTCGAGACTTTTTCTATGTACTAACTACAATCTAACTATAACTGTTATGCTATAAAACCTAATACCTTACCTACTCATTCAATTCATAGCATGACGTCCATTTTGATTTTTAGAGTTTCAGTACGCCTGAATTTTCAAAAGAATAAGAAGTAGCTTTTTTGTAAACTTATGAAAACTCCGGACTTTGTAAAAGCCCAAAAATCCCGGAGCTGTCACGTAGCAAAACCACAACAGATCAGTAAAACAATCCTAAAATTCTCGAATTAAAAAAGTTAAAAACGATAGTGAACAGCCAGAAAAATTCAAACACTCCACGAATCAATGCCTGGAATGGCACGACAAACCAGCCGAGCATAATTCATTGCGCCACGTGCGCTCGCTGACGCACAAAGGAGATGCGTGCACGCAACTGCCCGCGTAAATCAGCTGTGAACTTGACAGCGCCACAGATAACATAATCCGAGTGTTCCTTTTGTAAACACGCCGTTATTGGCGGGAGAAATTTTCAATGAAGCTGTAATATCTTTTGGCTTAATTAGGCACCAAGTATAGAGATACAAAAGCTTAATAGAAATGCCGACGAGTTTTGTTTCTTTTTCGTTTGCTATCACAACTTTTTAATAACTGAGTAAAGTAATTCAGTTCATCAAAAGTTAAGTTCCTGTTCACCTCACTTTTGAGGAGGCTGAGTTTCCAACATTATATTATTGTTACTGTTGCTTGCCAGAAATTAGCAAATAACAGGGCAGATAACTAATTTGTTGTCATGAAAGCCTATGTTAACATCTAACAAGCACAAATTCCAGCTATCTTCTAACAATAAGCAAACATGTTTACCATCTAATTAGGGGACCACATTTTCCACTCAAGCCAAGACTGTAAACAAGGAAGCATGGCCCATGCGTCTTTTACAATGACTGTTTGCACAAATCGCCCAGATTCCACGTTGCAGGTCATAACGGGCAAAAGCGAATTCACGCGCAGGCGCACGAGGAAGTTGGAACGCCGCGCTGTCTAAATATTTAGCCATCCGTGAACACAGATGAGCAAGATCGAGTGGAATCCTTCGCTATTAAGATGCCAGCGTCCTGAAATAGGAGTGGGCTATGTCCTTTTGTAACAGGATTAAACGCTAGCTAAGACTAAGAAAATGAGTATTTCTCAAGTCTATCAAAACCATAGAAATTAGGTAGGGACTTACGAATGAGTGCCTCATAAAAATGTGTCTTATTATGCTCCTTTTACAGTGCTCATTTTTGGATATCAATGGAAGGCACAAAGATTGAATATTGCAGAGATAACTTGTAAGATTAACTTACCAGCGCGTTAAGAACGCATTTTGTACTTTTTTTTCTTTCTGTGCAATGAAAGTTGTAATTCATCATGCGTTCACTGCGCAAACTTCTGCAGCATCTAAGTATTCCCTATATTTAGGGACACACATGTGCTCCAGAATCACAGGAATTTACCCTGTTAAATATCAAATGAAACACTAAAATACTGGAGTCCATCCTCGCCACAAGCCGTTACTCCACATCACAGAAATAAACTTGGAATGTCGCGCGCATAATTTTAGCGCACCTTTACGTTGCGTTTGCGAATTTCTCGGTATCGAAAATCATAAACAGATGAGTGCAACAGCGGCACGCTTTGTAATAATATTTAACGCGATATGTTAACGGACCGTAAAACGGCGGGGTTTTTATGAGTTCCCATTTTGTTTCGGTAAGGATACATGTAAGTATGTTAACCGCACATTTAGGTTAACATGTTTCAGAGTATTTCATTATTTGTATAATCGTGCTTGCTGATTAATTACACCTACAGTCAAGTGTGAAAATTTGGTACGAAAATCTATTCCTTGTCTAGTAATTCCTTGTCTGAAATTGCTGCATCTATTGTCCTTTCTTTCAGCATGTTCTAAAAGTACGTAGGTATAGTCCTTCCTTAGGTAAAAAAAAGCCTACGTAACATTGCGAAAGAAAAAAATCAAATTATGAAGTAAAATATGCATTAAAGAATATACATCAAGGTCCTTTTTAAATACGGCTTTAACCATTGTTTATTACCTTGCCATATTTGTCGAGCATCATCAAAAATATTTTTTGTTCCACAATTAATAATGGCCGTTATTATGTAGGCAATAAAGCTATTTGTCACTGTCACAGCACGTTTGCCTGGCATTTCACTTAGCAGCTAAAAGGCTAATAAAAGTTAAGTGAGCTTGTAAGCGAGGCAGGCTGCGCCTACGCATATGCCTTGTTTTCATATCGTAGAGTTCCATTTATAGATAAAAAACGTTACTATGAGATAATCTGTTTGAGAGTAGGTAGTCTCAACGTTTTTATATGTTGGGACATGTTCTTCAGAAATGATCATACTTTTAGTGAATGCTTGTGTTTTTATTATTCTTATATTGGTTAGGTTGCAAGGCACTTATGCCTTGTACGGTTAACGGTGCATTGCATTTAAAGAAAAAGCAAATTGATCTGAAATTTTAAATATTTAATAACAAATATCCATTAGTATTTCGTTTCATATTAGGTACTATTACGTGTTCTTTTAATGGCTATTTCGAGTGAAATTTTATCAAAAGATATCTCTTTACTAAATACTAAACCGATTTTGGTTCCGTTTCCAGCCGTATCCATAAAACTAATTAATTTTGCAAATAGGGTTTTGAAAAAGCACTTTTACACACGTCCCAGTACCTATTAACCCTACGCACCACTGCTTCGGGACAATAAATGGACCAGTGCTGAGATGCAGCAACGCAAGAAACTCAGTCACTATTGTCAGCCTCCTTTTCATATACGGAACTCTTAATCAATCTGGATTACACTCACCTTTTTTCCACCACCTACGAGGTGCATCTAGCACGCATGTGCTAAGTGCTCGCTATCTCGATTAAAATGCCAAGTGTTGGCAACACTACGACCGGTCAGCCTCTGCAAGAATGCAGTTGCATTTGCATGCGAGTGTGTTTATTTTCTGGGGGTTATGCCGCTTTGGTCCTTAAAGCCTGTGTTGATTAAAAATGAGATCATCAGGCCTCTTTCTTTTAAATAGCTATAACTTGCAGAATACAAGTTATAGCGGGCAGATTATGCTGACCTGACCAAAAGGGGCATAACCCGTTTGGCTGTATATGACATAAAATTGTTTAAAGTCTGACTGTATGTTGGCATGTTTTTTTACTCTACTCAATGTAATGTAAATAATATACTTATACTTAAGTCATCATATCAAAACATTTATTCTATAATTATAAAAATTAATCGCAAAATGTGTTTGTAAGCGCATAACTCGACAACGCCTGGACCAATTTTACCAAATCTTTTTTTAATGTGAAAACCCTAAAAACAGCCCTTTTTTCACGCGGGCGAAGCCGCAGGCGCAAAGCCAGTTGATTGAACCTGGCCTGCGAGGGAAGTGTAGGCCAGATCCTTGATCTCCTGCAATAGAGACGGAACACCTAATGATAAACTAAAACATTAATTTATATTTAAAATCGTGGCTTCGACTGTTTTGTAGAGTATCTACCTACCTGTACCTACTTAAAAGGAGTTCTTAATTATTTTATTAGGTTGTATCAAAATATTTAAAAGCTTTAGCTAGTATTTCAAGTAAATTAATATCCTTCGACAGGCAGAAAATTGTTTATTACACGATGATATCCACATTTCTGGGGCAACGTACAGGTTTTTGGACTTAAGTGGAATATGCCTTTTCTGGAGATACGAGTACATACCTACCTTTAATTAATAACGGAAAATTACTTGTAATCTAACAGGTCGTATTTGAAATGTTGAAGAGCTGGTTTCTTGGATTTCGTGTGTCGATAATTGCATGGAATAGGTCAATATTAATTAAGCTTTTTGTTATTGATTATTCTATTGATGCGTTTTATTGTAGG